CTTCTAACAGAGCAAGAAGGCAAGCAGCTTTAACCCAAGACCACCAGTAACGTGATAAAGCGTCCTCCCTTCCCCCCTTTACATCTACGCCCCTGTTCAGCATGAAGAAGCCAGAGAGTCGGTATCCAATTCCCAAATCAATAAGACAGTTGGTTTAATTACTATTGGAAAATGCTTGTCATTCCTTTGTAGCATCTGGTTCCCACTGGACCCTCATCATTTCCTTCACCTACTCCCCCCACCGACCAAACTGTGCAGCTCTGCAACTGCATTCTGGCCCATCCTCACCCTTCTGCCCCCAACCCTCACCTCCTTGTACCCCCAATATGTTTTTCATTAACTGTTTCTAAGAAATACCTGCAGGTCTATTTATGGGCAGTCAGTCAGTCCTTTTGGAGCACAGGCTTGATTTGGCACAGATGGGGTCACCATGAGTCAGAACTGATTCTGTGGAATTGGTTCTACAGAACCGATTCTGTGGAATCGGTCTACATTCCTCTCCTATTCTTACCTCAGAATAGTCTCCCCCTAGATACTGGAGGCCATGACACTGTTCTGTTTCTCTAGAGTACACAACGCAGTTAAGTCGAGACTTACAACCTGACCCCCTGGTAGGTTTTTTTGGTTGTTGCTGTTTTAATTTTTCTTTTACATTGGTTTGCTTACAAAGTTCATATACATTGTGCTTGATGTTATTCTTCATTTGCGTTATGTTTAATGAATGCAATCATTCTCATTCAATCCAGTGGGTTTTTAAAAGCTGGAAACCACACAAAAGGAGATTGCCCATGTTTGTTCTTCAGAGCTGCTGATGGATTGGAACACGAGGGGGATGTCCACTATAGGTTAACAGTACAGCTTCCATGGACCAGAACACCTTCCTCCAGAACAAGCACTCAGTAAATAGTCCATGAATTCCTATCCAAGATGGAGGGCTACATGGTGGAGGGGCTTTCCATCTAAGCTTCCATTCCTCTTCATGTGGGATGCCTGGCCTGGACTGACTGAGCTCCCCTCATTCTCCTTTGTTGTACATCCCCATTTATTGCTCTCCAGGTTGTAGTCTCTCTTTGGCCGGTATCTCTCCAATCACCAGGTTGTCTGAGAACCCCTCTCCAATCATGTAGTCATTGCATTAGCAGTGTTCCCGGGCACTCTGGGCATGCTGACTGTCACAGGTTCGTCATCGGCCCACCGTGGTCTCGTCCACACCCCACCTAACTCAAACCTCCCCAGATTCTGGGGTGGGGAGGGCCTGGTTTCCTGTCAGGACAGCATGGCAAGACAGCCACTCCTGTCCACACTGCCTCTTCACAGACCAACCAGCCTTCTCTCAGGAGTCTTTGTCTTCCTCACACTTCAAAACCCCCTTTGATAGATAAGTCGACAGGAATCAAAGAGTATTTAAGTTCTCGTCTCAAGCCTCCCAGCATTTTTAACCTTTTCTTATTTTCTTTAGAAGTGGGTTACATAAGCTCTTCAATGGCCAGATTCCCATCTCGTTCATCTTTGTACTACCTATCCTCCCTGGCAGTGGACGCAATGCATTTCAGAAGGTCAGTAGGTCTTCAGCGTAATGGGATTTAAGGGCAATGACACTGCAGAATCTTAAATGGTGCCTGCTGTTACTTAGACGTTCAATGGCATATTTGTTTTCTAAGTAGGACTAATCTGCCACTCTAACTAGTCTTGCTCATTTTTCTAGAGACAGTGGCAAATCTGCATCTGACATGTGAAGTATCCCACCCCAACATGGGCCCCAGCAGCTGGTGATACCAGAGCTTAGTGCCAAGAGGCCATCCTCATGGTTGGGCTGGTAATAAAGCGTGCTTCTTTGGAACCCAGGATGAGTGCAGCAACAACATGGACTCCACCGTCATTCTCCCAACTAAAGCTCAAATTACATTCACACAGCATAAAACTCACAGAAAAATCAAAGTGATGAAACAGAGGGTTCCATGTTGCACCAAGCTAACCTGGACTCCTCTTGCCTTCAATGACTCCGGTCTCTTGGTTTTCCTCATCAGTGCTCAGGCTTCTAAGATACAGTCCTGGTTTCTCTTCTC